GGACTGGATGATCTCCTGAGCTCCCTTCCACCCCCACCGTTCTGGGATTCTGTGATATGCTGAGCAATTGGGCCAGGAGGATCACCCTCCTCAAAGCACAAAAAGAGAGCCAACAGTATGTTTTCACATTTGATGTGTGGCAGAGGGATGGTGAGATTGCTCAAGAGAGAGACAGGCAACACCTTCCTATGCAACCTCCCCCTCTCCTTGGGCATGGATGGTCCCACTGACACATCACCATCCTGATTCCAGCCTTCTTACAGACATCCCAGATCCTGGAGCCAGGACGAATCCAGACAGTAGAGACACCTCCACGATCACCATGCTGGAAGTTGATCTCTTCCCAGTGTACCTGAAGGAGAAGATCGAAAAGAGAGTGTCTTCCAGCTTCCCCCTTCCCTCCACCACCATACCCTGTGTGCAGGACCCTGAGCAGCAGCCTGGCCAGGACCAGGGCCAAGGCAGTCACTGCTCCCTCTCACAGGAGACAGATGATGGCTGCACTGCTCTGAGCATCCCCAGTCTGAGGTGACTACTTGCACTCCTCTCCCTAACAAGAACCAAAGCCCTTGGAAACATTTCCCCTTCCCCAGAGACACTTGTATCTTTCCTTCTCCATCTTCCACCTAGACCTTCTGCTGAAATGGCCTCAAGTTGCGCCAAGAGAGGTTCAGATTGGATGTCAGGAAAAATTTCTTCATGAAAGCATTGGAACAGGCTGCCTAGGGAGGTGGTTGAGTCCCCATCCCTGGAGGGATTTAATAGATGGGTAGATGAGGTGCTCAGAGATCTGGTTTAGTAGTGGACAGGTACGGTTGGACTTGATGATCTCAAAGGTCTTTTCCAACCAAACAATTCTATGATTCTGTTCTATGAAACTGCCTGGTGCCTCCATCACAGCCAAGAAGCACCCCTCAGCTCGCCAGTCATGCCTGGCTTTCCTTCCCAAGTGGAGCTTTGTCTTTAGAGTCACCTGACATTGACATAGACAGTAACAGAGTCTGTGTCGCCCTCGGTGCAGTTGACTGGCTCAGTTCTCACTCGCAAGGCAAAGGATTTGGAGACCTGAGGGGAGGGCGTGTTGTACCTCAGCACCATCTGCAGGGACAGACAAAAAGACAGGATAAGACACGGATAATTAGTTCCATATCATCTATCATACCTTTTTTTCACCAACTACTCTAATCCTCAAGATACGGACCCCAGACAGTGACTGGATAAACAATACACAGCAAGCACATTCATCCCAGTACTCAAAATGAAGGTCACTCAGGTTGGAAACCTTCCATGATCCTGCCAGCTGGAGCATCTTCTCCTCACCCTTCCCATTGAGCATGTGCAGGCTGGGCATGCAGCAGTGGGACCACTACAAAACATTTCCACCCTCCAATACCATGAGAGCCATGGAAGCATCACTGTCCTCACATTTGGACGTGTTCTGTCTCCGAGTCTCCTAGAGAGGTTTTGCATTTGCACAGGTTTATTGCATTGGCAACACGTTGGGATCAAAGCCCAGTTAGTGCACGTTTCCTTGGACAGAGCTGCAAAGGAGACTTTTGGTTTTGATAAGATGATGAGCAGAGGGTCGTCACAGCAGGGTCTGTGGGAACCTACCCGGGTAAAGACACAACAGCTGCCGTGCGCCTGCACTGAGAACTTTCCTGGGATTTCTGTCAGTGCTGCCTCCTGTACCAATAGCCGGTTCTGGGAGGAGACTTGGAACTTCCTCCCAAAGCCTCTCTGGGACCTCACCCTCACTTCTGCAGCCCCTTTCGTGCTGTACGTCAGTGCTGCATATTTAGCCAAGGCCTGTAAAGCCACTACTGTGTCCTGAAAAAGAAGAAACAATGACATTTCCAGCTCTGAGACCCAAAACCACTTGAACTCGTTGTCCTGACAACCTCCATATACAAGGGCTCCTCTCCTCGATGCGTTCACACTTGCAGAAATGGTGCACAGATTGTGAAGAGGTTCTTCCTTAAGCAACATCCCCTTCCCTGGCCATGAGTTACCTGTGTTGAGGCAAACCCTCCATAGGCATTCTGCTGCCTGGTGAGCCAGGCCACGATGCCAGAGGCTGTGGTGAGATCAGACCCTGTGACGTTTGGCTTGGAGAGCAGGGCCAGGAGAACATAGGCTGACAACTCCACATCCACAGACAGTGGCTGTGACCAAGGGCTGGTGCTGGGTTTAGGCTTGGACAAGGTCTGACTCCAGTGGATCTGCCCATCTGGGAAAGGAAGGGAGCAGATGACATTGTGACATGTCAGGAAAGAAATCCTGAGGCTTAAGATGCACAGTGGCTTGTGTCTACAAAGGCCATCGAGTAAATCCCTTGTGACTGGGTCATCACATCGCTGGATGAACTGCAATCCCATGTATTTTGCAAAACCCAATGCTCCATATTGCACAGCAAGGTGGTACACAAAAATAATCACAGAATCCCAGAATGGTGGGGTTGGAAGGGACCTCGAGAGATCATCCAGTCCAACCCCCCTGCCAAAGCAGGCACCTCAAACACCAGGTTGCACAGGAAAGTGTCCAGGTGGGTTTGAACATCTCCAGAGATGGAGACTGCACACCCTCTCTGGGCAGCCTGTCCCAGGGCTCTGGCACCCATACGTCCCAGATGTCCAACTTCTCCATTGTCCTGTTTGCCAGGTCCACTAACTACCTGACACTAGCTAGCTACCCACTAGTCAGTCCTGGGGGTCAGAGACTAACAAGAAGCAGGGAAGCTTGCCAGCTTGCTTCCCTCTCTGGGGCTTTGCAGTCCTGCAGAAGAAAGCCCACTTCTCTCTGAGCCCAACCTCCACTTTGGGTACCAGAAAAGGACAAGAGGTTTGAAGGAGATCAGCACCCACACCACAGCATTGCCAGCACACTCCTTGAGTTTGTAGACTGGCTGTCTAAAAAATCTCTTTGGTGAAGGACCAAAAGAGTAAGGCTATGGTCCTTCCAGGTTGTATGTAACCAAGGGCTCAGAAAGGTCACGTGTCCCTTCTCTGATGCTCACCTGGCACTGAGGTTCTCATACCTTCTCTGATTGCCTTTTGATCAAGGATATCAAGTAGCTCTCGCGTGCGTTGAGAGTCCTGAGCCAGGGCAAAGGTGTAGGCCAGCAGGGCCTGGGTGTAGGTGCTGGCAGCTTTGGGAAGGGAAGGAGCGATGCAGCCCAGAGCCTTGCGCACCACTGTGCTCTGCAGAGAAGAGTTCCATGGGTGTTGGTCACACACAAACACACGTGAGGCAGGCAAACATGGAGGCACACAAGCAGAAGGATGCATTAGCAGATGCTGGCACAGGAAGCACCCCATGTGTTCCTCCAGGTATCTCTGTGCCCAAGCCTGCACTCTTCCCTTTGTAGCAGTGCAGCACCAGTAAGCAATGTCTCCAACTCTTCACTTAAGGTGCTTGATAGACCCAACCCAAGCTGGTCATGGGTTTCAGCATTGCTCCCTTGTTAAATGAATGCCTTACTGCTGGAACACCACCACTACATCTTACTTTTCAAGTCCAAACACAACAAGAGCAACAATGCACAACCAACGTTTACACCCAGCCTGCTGACCAAGATGACTGAGTTCAATTCACCTCTACAGTGCCTTACAAGGTCACTGGGATTTCCAGTTTCCCCTGGAACACCAGTCCTGCTGTTGGCAGGAGGCAGCAAACCCACTGATGTCAGCAGCATTGTGTTCCAGCATTCAGTGGATGCTCCATCCCTAAAAGTGTTGAAGGCCAGGTTGGATGAGGCTTTGAGCAACCTGGTCTAGTGGAAGGTGTCCCTGCTTATGGCAGGAACGGGATGAGCTTTAAGGTCCCTTCCAACCCAGACCATTCTAAGACTCTATGACTCTATGAAAAGACGGAAAAAACTCAAGCAGTTCATAGAATTACCAAATGGTAGAATAATTCAGATTGCGAGGGACCTCAGAAGGTCTCTACTCCAACTTCCTGTTCAAAGCAGGGTGAACTATGAGATCAGACCAGGTTGCTCAGTGTTTTATCCACTCATGTCTTGAAAACCTTCAATGTCGGAGACAACTAAACCTCTCTAGGCAACCTGTTTCAACACTTAATTGTCCTTATGGTGAAAAAAGGTAACCTGAAAGAACATCTGCTGCCAGAAAAAAAGTTCATTTCCACCTGTCTCGCTTTTTTCCTGAAAACTTATTGCTTCAGCTGCAATGAAAAGCACTGCTCTTTCACTTTGCTTATTCCCAGAGATTTTGGCTTCTCAAAGTCTATAGTAACAACATTTCTCCATCAAGTTGACTATATTTTTTTATCTGCCAGTACCACAGAGTAATTAGTTCTGATGTTCAGCACTTGTAAGATTCCCTTCTGTTATTACTTAGGTGTGCAATTCCACCTGCCCTACTTCACCACACATATCTCCCTACAGTGCTCCTTTCCCAGACTTCTACTTTCTGGGAAGCTAAAGCACATGAAATATGTCACTATGGCTATTGACTTCACCGTGGGAGCAGCTACACCAACCTCTCCTCCCTAAGAACTCACTACTAGCTCTCAGCTGTGTATTAGACAAAGCGTAGCAAGGGGCTGGGAGGATGGGGGTGGTGGGGAAGCAGGAATCAGCAGCTAAAGCCTGAGAAATGGGCATAGTATCTAGCCATGAACTCCAATGGCTCCCTGTAGTCTAACCTCACCTTCTCCCCTGCCAGGAATGTCCTCCTCAAGGGATAGCTGAGGCTTTTTCCTCAGAAGTGACAATACCTTCCTCCCCTGCCCTATTACGTTGTCCACAAGCCTCTCCGAGATGCTCTGTTGCCTGCCCCAGTGACACCACTAAGCTCTTCAGGATTCAGATCTCAAGGCAAGAGCACAGCAAAGAATCACAATATTTACCTCTGGTGACTCTCCTGCCTCCAAGTATGCAGCTGTGATGTAGGCAGCCAAGGGGACCTCCCCATCCACACCTCCCTACAAAAAGCATAAACATCCAAAAAGCTGGGCAAGTTAATAACCAAAGATCTGAAGCTTCTCAGTAAAGGTCCCATCTATCCCTGGCTTGCTCCCACGCTTTCTTGCAGAACAATACAGGAAAGGGAACTAAACAATTATCAGTACACTTGGCAAGATCTGCTTTGAGTTGTCCTTCAAGGTGCTCTGGCTCCTACCTGCATGGCTGTGTGGAAAAGTTGGCCCACATTTCTGAAGCAACCATTGGGAAGCTGGTGGAACTCCAGCCAGGTAAGAGCGGCTTGGATGGTCCTGTTGTCCACGAAAATGTATGGCTTGGCTTGGACAAAGCATTTAACTACAAATGCAGTCAGCCTGGTTGGGAAGAGAACAGAAAAAAAAGCTTAAGAGAGAAGCAGAAAGAGATGGAGTGAATGAGAGAGAGGGAAGAACAGTGGAAAGAAAGAATCTAAGCAGAAGACAAAGAAAAAAAGTGTGAGTGTGAAACTGGTGAGTCTCTCCTGACCTACTGTTCTGCTATTTGCTGGTCTAAGGACAGTTCATCCCAAGGACAGTTGCATCCCCGTGGGATGCCCTAGCCCACAAAGCATCTAGAACAGTTTGGGTCCAATAGAATGGAAAATATTCAATGTTGGAAGCAGAAAGATGCCCACCTCCAGGCTGTCAGACAACAGGTAGACAGCAGGGAGAGAGTCTGGGGCTTACCAAGTATTACCATACTCATCCTTGGTACCAAATTCACTGTAGGAACCATCAGGGTGTTGATACTGCAGTTGTATCTGGTACCCTGGGAAGCAGGACAGGACATTAGTGCTCAGAATGGTATTTGCAGTGAGATCACTCGGCAGGGAATGGGGTGGTGTCAACGCTAGAAGTGGTTGAGCACTCTGAGGAGAAGGAGAGTGGGCAACCATTGGTAGGTTGGACACAGGGGAAGGCAGAGGGGCAAGGTGGGTCTGTTGTACTTGCCATTGCGCAGGAAACCTTTTGCCCTCTCCTTGATCTCAGGGGTCAGCTGCCTAGTCTTCACCAGGTACTGCAGCACATAGTCACCGGGGCCAACCAGCACCTTGTTTTGCGCCCCACAGCCATGGGGCATCTGCACCAGACGGTCCAGGTTCTGCAGTGCTGTCCCCATGAGGTCACCTGGAACAGAGCATAGAATCATAGGATTGGGAAAGATCTTTAAGATCATCGAGTCCAACCATAAACCCAACACCGCCAATTCCACCTCTAACCCATGTCCCTGAGCACCTCATCTGCCCGTCTTTTAAATACCTCCAGGGAAGGTGACTCCACTACCTCCCTGGCCTTGATCACCTCCGGAGCAGGAGGTTTGGGGATTCATCTCCTTCTACCTGTGACCTGTTCCCAGCAGTGTACCAGGCAAGATAGCCCCAGCACAGCAGTGTGGAGACACCTCCACCTCTGTCCAGCCAGTTTATCAGTTCCACCATGCCCACCATATGGCCTGTATACATTCCCATCCTGGTAGGGGAAGCCCATAAGCAGAACACCTTCCCCCCTGCTGAGTGTTTTAGGTTATTTGGAACCAGGAAACACAGCCACACGCATGGGAAGAACAAGGCAGTGGAGCCTTGGAAACCTTAGAAAGGGTGTGGGTGGTTCTGGGCTTGGGCTTTCCTAGGGTTAAAATCGGAGACACAGGATTTGGAAAGGTATTATCATCACTGAATTCCTTACCGGTGACCGAGACAGTGGCTCTGACTGAACCTTCAACCACATTTCGAGGCAACATCAGGGACACAGACTCCTGTGCTGGATTCCCTGACACCAGTGGGGTAAGGTGTGTGGGGAGGGCAAAAAGAAAGATTATGATGAAAATAGCCTTCAAAATCCCCAAAGACTCTTCAATACTGTTCTGTGCTAACATCTAATTTTCTTGTCACAGAGGTGGAAGATCACCTAAAAAAGCTTGACCCATTCCACCCTCAACTCCACCAACGTCATTGTGACTGCGCTATCCTAACAGCCTTCCTTCTAAAGAGGTTGAGAGGATCTTCTTCAACCTCAAGGTCAAAGCCACCTTCCTGCTTTTCTTTTCCTAAGTTATTCAATTTCGTTTCAGATTTCAGTTGCAGATGCATCTTCTCAATGCACCTTGTGCTTTCAAAATCTACTAATGGCCCTGTCATACACCAGAAAATTCAAGACAGGAGCAGAAATCCTAAATCACGTCCTCCAGCCTCACCATGTTCAGTTGTCTGGTTTTATTACCACAAGTGAAAAAGGCTTTGAGCTACCACACAGTATCAGAGATGTCACTGCTAGAAGATTGAACCTCCCCACATCCTGACCCTGGGAAAGCTCTAATTGGCACCACAATTAGCGTATGCTTCTGTAGCTTGGGTCATGTTGTCAGATTAAATATTTCAACAAGTGGGAAGACCCAGAAGGTGGTTAGGTAGGAAGGGGGTGATGAGAAGAAAACAATCTCTCTACCTTTTTTGGGACACAGGATGGAGCTGTGAGCCTTTTCTACCAACACACCCTCTGGCTGTTGGAGCACATAAAAGTAGCGTTATAATGAGCACACAGGAGAGAAACAGGATTGCAAGTGGATTAGAAATAGATATGGACAAAATCCTGGTTCAGGTTGGAGAGTCAGCTGGAGTAACATCATTATCACATAAAAATGTAAATTATTGTCAATCATTTTCACTGCAGATAAGCGAGCAGTACGCGTTCTCAGAATATCATCACTTCTGAACGTCTGTGAAACTGATGCTGTAAGATCCAGCAGGGAGCTCAGGAGTGAGGACGTAAAAGAATGTAGAGATTTAAAGTTTTCCATGGTATGAAGTGGAGGATATCTCTCCACCTCTCACATCCATCAGCCCTCGTGGTTGGGGCCAGCTCAGACCCTGAGATTCTAATTACACGAGCAAGGGGTAACTCCCCAAATTAACCCACATGAAATCTGGGAATTGCACAAAGCCCACTTTTAGGTCTAGGTGACAGAAGAGCTTGTCTGACCCGGACTAGGAGGAGTTCGGTGATCATGTCTTTCTGTCCTTGGTTTGGGACAAATGGTATCTGTCCTCCACAGAGTTCTTCAGTGGCCACAGCCTCTGTGCTGAGGGTGATGTTCATGAGCCCTGAAAATAATACATGTTTAGGTGCATGAAACATCTTCTGAGGAAGCACTTCCCATTAATACAGTAGGAATCACCTGTTGACAACAAAAAACGGGATCAGAGCCCTGTATGATTCTGTCCCTCCCAGCACAGACTTACGAGTAATCATGACCTTGGAATGAATGCAAACAAGTAGTCTCTGGTTAACAGGACAAACAACTCCTCACTCCATGTCAGCACTTACAAAACATCCCCACCTTGGTCCCATCCCTTCCCAATTCCACCTCCCTGTTCTTCTCACCCAGTTGCTCAGCTGTGACACTCCACTGAAAGGTCTTAGCTTCATCGGCACATAAACAGCTGCTGTAGACACAGTCTTTGCATGGCTTCAGCTGGAAGTGTGCCAACTCCTCCAGGGTCACCTGGATCTGAAGGGGCAGCAGGGATGGCAGGTGGTAACAAGTTAAATACCACAGGCCACAGATTTCAGCCACCTCCTACCTACCCATACCCTGCTTTTCTCGCAGAGCCCATCAGGGCTCACCTACCTTCATGCATTGCTGCAGGTAGTTGAAGACTGTGGCCTTCAAGATGAAGGTCTCACCCTGGATCACAGAAGATGGCAGTGCAAGCTCCACAAAAAAGGGCTTGAAAACAAGGAGACTGGCGGTTGGAGCAAGTCCAAAGCCATTACGTCCTGTGCAGAACATCCCTGCTTTCCATTCTGTGATGGTGTGAGGCACAGTGACAGTGACATTCTTGTTCCCACTGGGGCTGAGGAGAAACAGAGAGCAACAAAAGCATTTAACTGAATCTTGCTGTACACAGCACCAGGTGACCTGGTCTGCCTAGAAGTGTTGAAGGCCAGGCTGGATGAGGCTTTGAGCAACCTGGTCTAGTGGAAGGTGTCCCTGCTGATGGCAGGGGGGTTGGAACTGGGTGATCTTTAAGGTCCCTTCCAACCCAAACCATTCTATGATTCTATGATTCTCTCCAGTGCCCCACCTCAGTCTAACCCCTAACCTCTGCTGAACTTGTAGCCCTTGTAGGGTTACTAGTAGGTCCTTGTAGAAGCAGAGACTCCTGCCTCAGATACTTAGATCAACAGAAAATTTTTGACAATAAGTCATGTGGCTGCAAGATGTCATCCATCACACTCAGTGATGTTCAGATGTCAGCAGTTCTATTTTTCTTGGCCTAGGGATGGAGAACTAGACATCAGAAGAGCAAGAAAACTAGCTCAGCATCAGTAGAACTTAGCAAAAGAGACAGAGCGAGCCTTTCACCTTCCTGTGAGACACTGACAGCTTGAAGTCCAACATGAAGACAGGGTAGACACTTGGCTTGTGCCCACATCACAACTTCTGAGAGCAGCAGACTGTTCTGTAGCTGCTACCACAGCAGATAAAAAAAAACAGCCCTAGCTAAAGCTAATTATATTATTCACCTTCAATAACTGGAGGGAACCTGGAACAGATTAGCTGGAGAGTTGCCTGGAGGAAAAGGACCTGGGGGATGTTGGTCAACAGCAGCTGAATATGAACCATCAGTGTGGCCAGGTGGCCAAGAAGGCCAACAGCATCCTGGCCTGGATCAGCAATAGCATGGCCAGCAGGATCAGGGAAGTTCTCTTCCCCTTGTGCTGGGCACTGGTGAGGCCGCAGCTCGAGTGCTGGGTTCAGTGTTGGGTCCCTCACTCCCAGAAGGACATGGAGGTGCTGGAGCGTGTCCAGAGAAGGGCAACAGAGCTGGGGAAGAGAAATGCCGGCCCACAGGGCTCCCACAAGCAGAGTACAGGCAGCAAAGCAAGCCATTCTGCTACACCGCACTTGCTTTCCTATCTCCACATGCCAGCCACCTCCCATGGATGGACAGTACTTCTGTATGATCATAGAATCCCAGAGTGGTCTGGGTTGGA